AACACTGAATTTAGGCTGCTCCTTTCACATGGGAATAGAGAGATGGAGTTTTCTCCCTTGATATTTGCATTTCAAAAAAATGGATCTTCGTATTTTTCCATTTTAACGAGATGGCTCCCAGGTTTTCTCAAAAGAAATTCAGTCATAAAGTTTAAGAGAAGGGAAAAGATCAGCAAACAAAATGACTGCTTTGGGGCTCAAGCAGCTCAGCACACATCAGAAAATAGGAAAAACTACATAATATTACAAATACCTCAAAAGTTCTTCCAAAAATAGTCTATGGTTCACATTCATAGTGATCATGACAATGCCTGCAATTCTTAGCACAAGCAGCCACCAGAAAATACCTGGAGAAAGGTGGCAGAACCTGAAAAATGAGCTGTCACACTGTACAAGCCAAGGGAATGTAAGCCAGGTGAGATTGACCAAGCTGACCGCAAGATTCCTGACACCCTAACCATGTCCTTCTTTCTTTGAAGTAGGTGATGGGGGTGCTGTGGGAGAGATTTTCTTGGAGCAGAGCACATCGCTCAGCGCCAACGCTGGAGAGTGGATGTTACTAGAGCCATGGTCCAGCTGTGGAATGACAGAAATGACTGGAGATGGAGGGAAGACAGAGATGAGCCCAGGACTCTAGGAGGGATGTGAGGGTCTTACCCGTGAACACTGTAAATCGGGAGTTCTCCAGCATCTAATCCCAGTACACCAACCTCTGAGCCTCACGGAGGAGCCCTCATTTCTGGCTGAAGTTACTGGCCATGCCCTCAAAGATCATGCTCTTTCAAAATGGAGATGGTTCATTCTATTAGTAGCTTATCTCCTAAAGCCATAAGTTGATACACCCTGCCAAAACACATGTGCGCGCGCACACACACACACACACACACACACACACCCATCCTCTGGTCAACAACTCCCAACCTCCCCACCTCAAAGGAGATAATAGGCCCTGGTGCCTGCTCTCAACTCATGGCCACATTGATTGCTGACTCAGGGCACAAAAAGAACAGGATAGTGGGCAGATGTTATCTTATCTCTGGACCTGACATGTCAGGCCCCATATTCTCTTACCATGTAAAACGGTAAACAAACAACATGCTTCCATGTCATTTGGCTTCAATTACACCTGTGCCTCCATATCTATCTCATGTCCATTTATTCCTCAGAAGCCTTGGCTACCTGCCAGATTATCTTCTCTTCCCAGCTTCACCAAGTGCCCAAGCTAGACATGCACTTGCAGCACCCACCCTCCCCTTCCTGATTGACTATTAGCATTACCATCATGTCCAGATTTCCTTCAATAATGTTACTAAGGCCTCCCCTGCTCCATGAACTGTCCAGTACCTTTTGTAGATGGGTCCATCCAAAACCCCTTCCCACAGTATCAGGCGTATGGGCCAAGATGCCCACCAAACAATTGCACTTGTTTTTTCTCTGAAATATCTCACATACTAAACATGGCCAAAAGGATAACTGCTGCTAACCCCAGTGAAATATACTCCCACTGTGGACCCCTGTTTCAGTGACAGAGCTTCCATCCTTCCAGCAGCTAACACCAGAAATCTTGGAGTTATTCCTGATGCTTCATTTCTCTCTCTCACCACTACAGTCAGAAAATCTGGGTTGCCCTATTTTAAAAACTGACATAAAATCCACTTACTTTTTTCCCTTCCACAACAATGGGTCACACTATCAACACTCACCTGAATTTCTTGTGAAGGGAACAAACCAGAGCATCTGTGCAGAGCCCTGGGTGTGGGATTCACACCAGGCCAATCCTTGGGGGCAGGACTCTTGTTCACTGCTGCTGCAGAGACAGGTAAGACCACAGTCCCAGTGGGCCTGAAAGGCAGAGCTTCAGACTAAAGAAGATTTACCGTGAGCCACATGATCTCTTGAAGTTTGCCTTGATCAAAGTTTGAACTTACTTTGGATACCACATCTCTTCTTTACTTCTCATTTCTTCTGTTTGAAATGGAAATGCCTATCCTACTCCTGTTTCACCATTGTCATTTGGGAGCACATAACTTCTACTTTCACAGGTTCATAGCAGGAGAGGAAGTTTGTCTCAGGATAAATTGGACCTTGAATGTCACTCATATGTGACTTAGATCATATTTAGATGAGTCTTTGGACTTCTTTATATCACCTTGTAATTTACTGTATAGTCACATACTTTTTCTTTTATATTTTGTGTCTGTGGTGGTATTACTTAATGTTTTCAAGGGAAAAAACTCAACTAAAAAAAAATCTCTGAGATGTTAACTTTCTTCAACGTCCTCTGAAATTTCCTCAGAACTAATTATGCCACTGTCTTATGTAGTTTATATAACTATATAAACATGTTAATAAGTTGCTGAAACTTTGCTTTTCAAAACTGCTTTCCTTATATAACCCCAATTCCCCATGAAGAACTGTACTTACAATCAGTGTAAAATGATAATCACAAGCAAGGATATTAGATCATGGGCTTAAGATGCCCCCTTTATCTCAGCGTTCAGATACTCCCTTTGCACACTTGCTGTGACTGTGAAACTTGTATAACCTGACCCATACCATAATAGCATTAGTTAATTTTTTCTCCTTTTAAGAAAGATATCTGTTCATGGAAAAAAAAAATTGAGTACAGCCCCGGCTGCTGTGGCTTAGTGGGTTGAGCATCGGTCTATGAGCAACTGTCATCGGCTAGATTCCCAGTCAGGGCACATGCTTGGGTTATGGGCCAGGTCCCCAGTTGGGGGCATGTGAGAGGCAACTGATTGATGTTTCTCTCTACCTTTTTCTCCTCCCTTCCCCTTTCTCTAAAAAGGAAATAAAATCTTTAAAAAAATTGATCCCTGGCTGTTGTGGCTCAGTGGATTGGTTGCCAACCTGTGAACCAAAAGGTCACTCATTCGATTACCAGCCAGAGCACATGCCTGAGTTGTGGGCCAGGTCCCCAGTTGGGGTCATGTGAGAAGCAACTGATCTATGTATCTCTCCCACATCAATGCTTCTCTCCCTGTCTTTCTCGCTCTCTTCCCCTCTCTCTAAAAATAAGTAAATAAAACCTTTAAAAAAAATTGAGTACTGTCAGCCCTTGATATTCATGGTTTTCGCATCCTCGATTCAACTAACCTTGGGTGGAAAATATTCTGAAATAAGTGTTACATTGTTCCTGATGTACTGTGTAGTTAGGGCTATGAAGGTTTCATGTTTGTGTGTGTCCTGAACATGAACAGACATTTTCCCTGTTGTTATTCCCTAAAAATACAATATAACAACTATTTACATAACATTTATATTGCATTGTATATTATAATTAATCGAGATGATTTAAATTATACAGGAGGATATATGTACACTATATGCAAATACTATGTCATTTTATATGAGGGACTTGAGCATCTACAGATTTTGGTGTCTTCAGGCTCCTGAAACCAATCCCTGGTGGATACAGAGGAACAACTGTGTATCTTAGATTATGGAATAAGAAATATTATATGGATAAAAATGTTCCTCAGTGGGCAGGACATAATCATTGACTCTACAAAAAAGAGAGAGATTTCCTATGGGAACTAGAGGTAGAGCTTGTTAACATAAGAAATGTTCAAAGCTGTAGAGAATTTTTATAAAAAAATATTTGAGCCAAAATTATGGCATGTCTAGGAGCAAGATCTCAACTGCTCCTGAGAATAACAGTTCTGCAGGTCTTTTAAAATAAATTTTATTTATTTTTTTATTTTTAGAGAACGGAAGGGAGAGAGAAAGAGACGGAGAAAGAGAAGGAAACATCAATGTGTGGTTGCCTCTTGCACACTAGGCATGTGCCCTGACTGGGAATTGAACTTAGTTCACAGGCTGGTACTAAATCCGATGAGACACGCTAGCCGGGATCAGTTTTTCAGTTTTTTTATGCAGTGGAAATTAAGGAGGAAATATAAAGAAATTACATGAAGTTTTGGGAAAGCAAAGTGGGGACTGGATTACTGGATAGTTAACAACATTATGTAGTCTCTTTAGGGTTAATGCTCCCTTGAGGGCTATTATTGCTGGTATTTCAAAGGTGTGTTAACCTAGATGCGGAACAACAATGGAGATGGCTGCCCTAAAACCTTTCACTAAAAAAGTTTTAGTCCTAGGCTGGGATTATCCACATGCCCTGCTCAGATAGAAATTTATGATCAGATCAACCTGAGATATTACTTTCCATAGAAACTGCCCCCCACCCCCACCTCTGCACAAACTGCTGCTTTTTCACCTCATTCAAAATATCCACCTTCTGTCTTCTGAGCCATGGCTCTGCACGGAGTCATTTCTCCTGTTCTTGGCCAATCATCATACAAAAAAATGCAAATATTCACCTCAGACTGCAGACATTTGCAGAGCAATGACACTGTGTCCAACTATGCCTGCACTATTTTATGTGTGAATGACTCTACAGAAGGATATGTCATTTTCGACCAGGAGATTTGAGAGCATCTCAAACATTTTTGTCTTCTGAGAGCAGGCTGAGCTTCACGGAAAAATAAATGTCTGTCGCTCCAGACATCCTTTATTTTGCCTCAAGAGTTAGGAACATCGCTTTTGTTAAACCCCTTGCAGAGCAAACCTTCCAGTAGACCAGGATGGGAAACTCCTTTCTTGCGGCCTATGGAACCGTGAGAACTACCTTACCCAGAAAACCGAGGGCGGAGTTGAGCCAATGACACATCAGGATGAAAGTTTTTCCTTCAGATCTCAGCCCCTTGGGGCGGGACTGGCGACGCGTTCCTCGTGGCGGGCATTTTCTCAGCTCACCGGCGTCGGTGGGGACAGAGCTGACGAAACAAGTAGGCGCAGGGCGTTGTTGTCTTCACTGCAGACACTGGTGTGAGGCTGGGCGATGCCGCCTGGGTGACCCGCGCCACGGCTGATACCAGGAGCACTGTCTCCGCGGCCCCTCACCTCTCCCGCCTCTCGGACTGCTCCCCCCGCCCTCTGCAACCGCCGCTCGCGCCCCGCTCCGCTCGCTGAGCCGGATGGCGGCGGCCGCGCTGAGGCGCCCGGCTGAGGTGAGCGCGCGCCCCCCGGGCCCTTTCCCCCCCGAGCCCCGCAGCCCGGCGGCGGGGCGCCCGTCACGTCCTGCAGCCCCGGCCCCCGCGTCCGGGCCGGGAGGGAGGCTGAGCGGAGGCGCGAGGGTCGTGGCTTCGGAGGGGCAGCGAGTACAGGGCAGAGCGGCCCGGGCTCCCGCGCCTCTGAAACGTGCGTGGCGCCCTGGGTGCCCGATAATGGAGTGAAGGTGCGGGCGGGCCGGCGGGACTGCAGAGCCCCGCCGGGGGCTCCCCCGCGGCGGGAGCCGTCCGAGGGCGGCGTGGAGCCGGACGGCGTTGGAGGGCCGCGCGCTCTCGCCGGGGGCCGGGGGCCGCGCGCCCGCGTGAGCGGGGAGAGACGCCTGTGAAGCAGGGCAGGGCGGCCGCAGAGCCGTGGGGGTGGGACTGTGGGGCCCGCCGGTGTTCGGGGGAAGCGGGCGCACGGCGGCGCGCGCACGGGTAGGTGGTGGGGCCGATGGCCCCGAGGCCGTGGGGCGGGACCCGGTGAAGCGGGAGCGCCCCTTTGCCGAGTGTCGCAGGTGGAGCCTGGGCGCCCCCGGGGGGACTTGCTGGGCAGGAGGGACGGGGCCCTGCAGGGACGTCCCCGGGCTTGGATGAGGTCTGCGCGTCCCGCTGCCCGGTGCCGAGGGCTGCTGCTCACCGTCCTCACGGCCCCGAGGGGTGAGGAGACCCCGCTGGGAGCAGGGCGTGGTGTCCCCTCTGATCGGGGAGCCCTGGGGGAGGGTGAGCAGGGGGAAGACGTGTGAGGTGACGGACTGGGAGGTTCTCAGGAAGACCGAGTCCGTGGTTTCCTCTGTCCGCATCTTGACAGGCCAGCGTGACCTTTGAGGACGTCGCCGTGCACTTTTCCTGGGAGGAATGGAGGCTCCTTGACGGGGCTCAGAGACGCCTGTACCTCGACGTGATGCTGGAGAACTTCGCTCTGACTTCCTCTCTAGGTAGGACTTCGGTAGTGTCATCAGCGATGTGGACTGGGCTCTGTCCCTGTGGACCACAGGCCCTGCTTCCTTCTGCTGTGTTTCTAGGGCGGGTGGTTGCCCTGCCCTCTTCTCTGGGCTGCAGCCCCGATACCTGCTGCACTGCCCCCTTCTCACAGGGACACATTGCGGGAAGCACAGGTCATTCCACTGCACTTGCCCCTCCCTCCTCTCGTCACTGTGTCCAGATCCCTGGTGCTTGTTTTGATCCCTTCCTTAAGCTGACATTTCCTAGGACCTCCCTGTGCCATAAATTGCGAGCATTGTCATCGTCATCGTCATCGTCATCGTCAGTATTTACCGTGGGCTGTTTTTCAAGACCCTTTTGCCTGGTTTGTAGAGTTTTGTTTAGATCTTTTGTCTGTTTTTGTTCCAGTGCGCTGATGTGTTAAATGGTGTGCATTTAAAGTGTACAATCTGATGGTGGATTTATGTATATATTGTGAAATAATTACCATGATCAAGTTAGTGAACACTTCCCTCACCCAATATACTCATTTGAGGGGTGGGTAATAGTGCTTAAGATATACTCTCCCAGTAACTTTTAAGTGTACAATGGAGTATTATTAACTGTAATCAACATGTTTTTCATTAGATCCTCAGAACTTATTTATCTTATAACTAAAAGTTTGTACATTTTGACTAATATCTCCCCAGTATGTCCTCCCTCTGGCTCTGTCATTCTCTTATTTCTGTGAGTTTAACTCTTTATTTATTTATGTTTTTTATATAAGTGATACCACACAATATTTATCTTCCTGTGACTGGCTTATTTCATTTTGCATAATGCTCTCCAAGTGTATACAAGTTGTCGCATATGTCAGGACTTAACTCTTTTTTTCTTTGTTCCTTTGTTTTTTAATTTTTATTGCTTTTATTTTTTTGACTGAAGAATTTCCTTTTCTAAGGTTGAATAATATTTCAAGGACACATGTGTGCGTGTGTGTATACCATCCCTTTTTTTAAACCAGTGTTCTATGAACAGACACTTCTGTTGTTTCATGCCTTGTGTATTGTGAATAATGGTGCAGGGAACATGAGAGTGCAGATATCTGTTATGCATTTCCTTTGGATATATGACAAGAAATGGGGCTGGTGTGGTTCAGTGGATTTGAACGCCTGCCTGCAAATCAAGGGGTCACTGGTTCGATTCCCAGTAAGGGCACATACCTAGGTTGCAAGCCAAGTCCCCAGAGGTGTTTCTCTCTCTCCCTCCTTTCCCCTCTCTCTAAAAATAAATAAATAAGTAATATCTGTTAAAAAAAAAAAAGCAGTGGAATCACTAGCTCATAAGGTAGTTATACTTTGCATTTTTTGAGATATTTCCATGCTGTTTTTCATAATACCTTTATGAATTTACCTTCCCACCAATCGTGTACTAGTGTTCCCTTCTTTCTACACATTTGCCAACACTTATCTCTTGTCTTTTTAATGATAGCCCTCCTCGTATAATATCTCATTGTGATTTGTATTTACATTTTCCTGCTTATTTTTGAGAACGTGTAATTTTATATTAAAATTTACCTGTTAGCTACTTAATCAGTACCTTTGTATATATTTTAATCAGATTATTCTTTTGCTTTGTGAGTACTTTATATTATAAATATATTATTACCCCTACTCTGGCTGGTGTGGCTCAGTGGATTGAGCACTGCCTGTGAACCAAAGAATTGCTGGTTCAATTCCCAGACAGGGCACATGCCTGGGTTGCAGGCCAGGTTCCCTGGTTGAGGCCACGTGAGAGGCAACCACACATTGATGTTTCTCTCCCTCTCTTTCTCCCTTCCTGTCCCGCTCTCTAGGAAGTAAATAAATAAAATTTTTAAAAAAAACTTAAAAAAAGATTTTACTTATTTATTTTTAGAAAGAGGGAAAGGGAAGGAGAAAGAGCGAGAGAAACATCAATGTGAAGGAGATAGATTAATCAGTTGCCTCTCACACATCCCCACCTGGGGACAGGGCCCACAACCCAGGCATGTCTCCCGACTGGGAATTGAACCAGTGACCTTTGGGTTCACAGGCTGGCACTCAATCCACAGAGCCACACCAACCAAGGCTATACGTGGGATTCTTTAATGAGTTCTTTATTCTAATCCATTTCCCTGTATGTCTGCTTTTATGTCAGTGTCATACTTTTTAATGTATGATAAGTGTAGCTTCATAATATAATTTGAAATTAGGAAGTCTACTTTTAGCTTTGACCTCGCTCAAGGTTGCTGCCCTGGCTAGTGTGGCTCAGTAGATTGAGCACCAGCCTGCGAACCAGTCACCAGTTGATTACCTGTCAGGGCACACGCCTGGGTTGCAGGCCAAGTACCCAGTCAGGGACATGGGAGAATCAACCACACTCTGATTTTTCTCTCCGTCTTTCTACCTCTCTTCCCCTCTCTCTGAAAATAAATAAAATCTTTAAAAAAGAAAGATTGCTTTGGCTATTTGAGGCCATTTGTGGTTCTTTGTGAATTTTAGGCTTCTCTCTATTTCCACAAAAGAATTCCATTGGAATTTTAATAGGAATTGCACTGGAGCTGTACATTGTATTGGGTAGTATGGACATTTTAACAATAATAATTTTTCCAATCCAAGAACATGGAATATCTTTCCATTTGTTTGTGTCTTCAGTTTTTGTTTTCATTAATGTCTTATAGCGTTCAGTGTCCAGATCTTCCACCTCCTATGTTGTACTTATGTGTATGTATTTACTGTTTTTGATGATTATTGTTAATGGAATTACTTTCTTAATTTTTTATTTTTACTTTTGGGGTTTCATTTTTAATTTAATTTTATTTTTTCCATTACCTTTATCCCACTGTACCCTCTGCCATCTCCAAACTAATCCCTACCCCCTTTCTTTTCTTGAAAAAATATTTTATTAATTTTTAGAGAGAGGGGAAGGGAGGGAGAAAGAGCGAGAGAAGCAACAATGAGAGGAAGAAGCATTTACCTGTTGCCTCTTACATGCCTCCAACCTGGGACCTAGCTGGCACCCAGGCATGTGACCTGACTGGGAATCAAACAAATGACTCTTCTGTTTACAGGCCAGTTCATCTACTGAGCCACACCAGCCAAGGCCCCCCCCCCGCCTTCCTTAATTTCTTATTGAAATATTTTATTGTTAGTATATAGAAATGCAAGTGACTTTTGTATGTTGACTTACTGTCTTGCAACTCTACTGAATTAGGGTTTTGTATAAATAAGATTGTGTCTTTTGCGAACACAGTTTTACTTATTTTGTGATTTTGATGCCTTTTATTTTTTCTGCTTAAGTGCTCTGGCTAGGACTTGCAGTATTATGTTGAATAAAGGTGAGGAGAGTGGGCATATTTGTCTTGTTCCTGATTTTAAAGGAAAAGCATATATATATATATATATATATATATATATATATATATTTGCTTTTAACCTTTGAGTATGATGTTAGTGTGAGCTTATTGTATATGGCCTTATTATGTTGAAGTATATTCCTTTCATACATACTTTGTTGAGTTTTTAATGTACAAGTGTACTCATTTTTGTTAGGTGCTTTTTCTACATTTAATGAGTTGATCATATGATTTTTCTTCCTCATTCTGTTAATATGGTGTATTATGTTTTTTGATTTGCATATAACAAACCGTCTTGGCATCCCAGAGATAAATCCTACTTGACCATAAATTAGGATTCCTTGAATACGTTGTTGTTTGGTTTGATAGTATTTTGCTTAGGATTTTTCCTTCTGTGTTGATCAAAAATATTGACCTGTTCTTTTCTTTTGTTGTATTCTTTTTATCTTGCATTGATATCAGGGTAATGCTGACCTTGTAAATAGTTTGGAAAAGTTTTTTTCTCTTCAATGTTTTGAAAGAGTTGAGTAAAGATTGATATTAATTCCCTTTTTAAAATCTATTGATTTTAGAGAGAGGGGTTTGGAGAGAGAGAGAGAGAGAGAGAGAAAGACGGTCAGAGAGACAATCGATTTTGTTGTTCTACTCATCCATGCATTCATTAGTTGCTTCTTGTATTTGCTCTGACTGTAAAGTGAACCTGAAACCTTGTTTTATCAGGTGGGCGCTCTAACTAATTGGTCTACCTGGCCAGGGCTGACATTAATTCTTACTACAATTTTTGGTAGAATTCACCAGTGAATCTGTCTTGTGCTGAGGTTTTCTTTGCTGGGAGATTTTTGATTAATGATTCTATTTTCTTAATATTTGGTCTATTCAGAGTTTCATTTCTTCATGATTCGGTCTTAGTGGGTTGGTTTTAAAAAAAAAATTTATTGATTGATTCTAGAGAAAGAGAAGAAGGGGAAAAGAGATTGAGAGAGAGAGAGTCTATGGCCATACAACCCTGAATGCACCTGATCTCATCTGATCTCGGAAGCTAAGCAGGGTCGGACCCGGTTAGTACTTAGAAGGGAGAGAGAGAGAGAGAGAGACATCTTTTTTCATTCTGCTTATTCGTGCATCCATTGGTTGCTCTTTGTATGTGCGCTGATGGGAGATCAAACCCACATACTTGGTGTATTGAGACAATGCTCTAACCAAATGAGCTACCAGTCCAGGGCAGTAGGCTGTATGTTTCTAGTAATTTATCTATTTCTTTCAGTTTGTTTTGTTTTATTTAATTGTTCTTAGAAGTCTCTTATGATCTTTGTGTTTTTGTAATATTGGTTGTCATGTTTCTGCTTTCATTTTAAACTTCATATATTTGAGTCACTTTTCTATGTTAGTCTTGCTATGGGTTTGTCAATTTTGTATCTTTTCAAAAACCAGCTCTTTGTTAATCTTCTCTATTAATTTCTTCTATTCTGTATTTTATTTAATTTTTGCTCTGATATTTGTTATTTCCTTCCTTTACTAGATTTGAACTCAGTTTGTCCTCTTTTTTCTTGTTCCTTGTGGTGTAAAGTTAAGTTGTTTTTTGAGAATTTTCTTTTTCTTCCCTTTTTTTTTTCCTGAACAGGTTTTATTACGCAGAGGGGGTGGGGTTCTGTCATACTTGGCTGCTGCCTTCCTCATGGCTGCAAGGACATTGCTCAGCTCCTCTCTCTTCCTCTTGGCACGGATGTGTGTCCCCACCCTTCTCTTGATGAATTTCAGGGCCCTCTTGTCCTTAGAGACTTCAAGCAGCTCCATGGTGCGCCGTTCATAGGGGGCAAAGCCACACACCTCTCGGATCATGTCCTGCAGGAAATCGGTGCGCTGGGTGACGCGCCTGCTGCGGCGGCGGCGGCCCTTATTGCTATAAACTTTATTCTTAGACCTGCTTTTGTTGCATCCTGGCAGTTTTATTTCCATTGTTGTTTGTAACCAAATTATTTTATTTTATTTTATTGTTTTTCTTTAACCTACTAGTTGTTCAGTAATGTATTGTTTAATGTCTACATATCTGTGAACTAGCCAGCTTTTATCCTACTATTGGTTTATAGATTCAAGGCCTTGTGGTCAGATAAGACTCTTGATATGATTTCAGCCTTATTAAATTTAAGACTGTAGCCAAACGTATGATCTCTCCTACATAATGTTTTATGTCCACCTGAGATGCATATTCTGCTATAGTTGGATGTAATAATCTATATGTCTTTATTATGTCCATTTGCTATAAAATATTATCTAAGTCAAATATTTCCTATTGATTTTCTGTCTAGAAGATTTAACTATAGTAGAAAGTTGAGTAGTGAAGTCTACTATTGCTATTTTATTGGCTGTCTTTTCTATGGTCCAGTCTGTTGATACTTGCTTAATATATTTATTTGCACTGGTGTTGGGTACATATATATTTATAATTGATATATTTTCTTAAGAATTGAATTCTTTATCATTATATAATGACTTTCTTTGTCTCTTATGACAGGTTTTGAGTTAAAGTCTATTTTGTCTGGTATAGCTACTTACAAGTATAAGCCTAGTCTCTTTTGACTTCCATTTGCATGGATGATAATGATGTTGATGATGATTATTTTGGTTTCTTCTCTTTCACTCTATTTCAGTCCTTAAAGCTGAAGTGAGTCTCTTGCAGGCAAGATATATTTAGGACTTTTTTTTTAACCTGTTAAGCTACCGTATGTGATTTGATTGGAGAATTTTGTAAGTACTTGATGATTGCCATCTTGTTCATTTTTGTCTGGCTGTTTTGTAGTTCCTTTGTTTCCATTTTCCTTTCTTGCTATCTTTCTTTGTGAGTTTATGATTTTTCATACTTACATGCTTTGATTTTTTTCTACCTTTATTTTTTGTTTATCTACTGTAGGCTTTGCTTTGTGATTATCATGAAGTTTACCTAAAACATCTTAGAGTTATAGCAGTCTATATTCATCTGATAATCACCAATCACATACAAAAAGTACCCTTTTAGTATTTAATCTGTCTGTGTTTTATGTTTTTTCCTTTTTCTTTTCTTTCTTTCCTTCCTTCCTTTCGTTTTCTTTTTTTTGTCTTTTTTTTTTTTTTTTTTAAGAAAGATGTGGGCCACATTGGGTTGCATGGACTTAACTAAGAAGTAAAAGTCACAATGCAAGAAGGGAGCCAAGGCCAGGCTGCTTTTAGCTCACCAAAAAGTTTAGGATAGAAGAAGCAACAGGAGACAACCTAGGCAGTGCTCTATTTTGGCTCTTCAGAAACGTCATAGAAAAGAAGTAAGGCACAGTGAGTCTGGTCTTAACTCACTGAAATGTCAGAGAAAAAGGGGCCTTGGAAACAGGTTCAGGGTATAAGCTTGGGAGAAGCTGCCACTGCCCATTGTTCCCCTGTTTGCAAGTCTTGTGGGGACTCACAGGGGTTAGGAGAATAAAGTAAATGTGCACGCCTGAGAAGAAAGAAAAGTGTGGGTGTGCTCCAGAGAGAATGTGCTTTTTTACTTTTTAGAGAGACAAGTAGGGAGAGATAAAGAGAAGAGGAGAAACATTGATGTGAGAGAGAAACATCTGTTGGTTGCTTCTCAAATGTGCCCTGGCTGATCCAACTTGCAACCCAGGCACATGTCCTGATTGGGAAAGGAACTGACAGCCTTTTGCATTGCAGGATGACACCCAACCAACAGAACCACGCCAGTCAGGGCTGTATTTTATATTTTTGATATCACAATCTGTACTTTTTAATTTTGTTTAGCTGATATTAAATTACTGTGTCTATAGTTATTTATTTATTTATTAGAGAGAGGGGGAAAGGAAGGAGAAAGAGAGGGAAAGAAACATCAGTGTATGGTTGCTTTCCACGGGTTCTCTACTGGGGACCTGGCCCACAACCCAAGCAGGTACCCTGATTGAGAATTGAACCAGCAACCCTTTGGTTTGCAGGTCGGGACCCAATCCACTGAGCCACACCAGCCAGGTATAGTTGTTTTTAATAGTCATGGTTTTTGTCCTTAATACTAGAGTTAAATAATTAACACAAAACCATATTACAGTATAAGTGTATTCTGAATTTAACTACATACTTACCTTTTCAGATGTGCTCTATATTTTCATATATTTCTGTGTTACTGATTAGTGTCTGTTTCATCTTGAAGAACTCCCGTTAGTATTTTTGGTAAGGCAGGTTGAGTGGTAGTGAACTCCCTTGGGTTTTTTTCATCTAGGAAAATCTTCATTTTCTCTATATTTTTGAAGGACAGTTTTGCTAGGTGAAGTGTAATTATTATATTTTATTTTATTTTAATTTTCACCAAAGGCCATTCTTATTGACCTTAAAGAGAGGGGAAGGGATGGAGAGAAAAACATTGATATGAGAGAGACATGTGGATTGATTGCCTCTTGTATGTATGACTGGGGACCTTGACATATCAGGACAATGCTCTAACCAACTGAACTTCCCAACCAGGGCTATTTTGAATTCTTTGTCCAGCACTTTGTTGGCTTCACTTGCTGGAAACCTGTTGTGCTCCTATGGTTCTTGGCTTTTTTGTGTGTGTATCTCTTACAAACTTTTGATGTCGCTGCATTTGATGGAGCAGTCCCCCTTCCTTCCATTACAGGGTTTTTTGGTGTATAAAGGTCTTCGCCTTGGGTTGCTTGTGAGGTCATTGAACTGATGTTGTGTGGCAATTTTGCCTCTGTCAGCTGAGGTAAAGGATAGGAAATACTGTAGGTTTTCTCAATAGCCAAGGCTGCAAGGTGAAATCACAGGTACTGGTCATGTTGAAGCTGGTTAGGCTGTGTTGTCAACACTGTGCTTTGATCATACCAGGACTGGTTTGGCTTTTTTAAAGATTTTATTTATTTATTTTTAGAGATAGGGGAAGGGAGGGAGGAGAAAGGGAGAGAAACATCAATGTGTGGACAGGGCCAGGACTGTTTTCATTTAACCAGTGTTTTGTTGTCATTGCCAGTGCTGAACCCCATTTCTTTTCTTTTCTTTCTTAAGATTTTATTTATTTAATTTTGGAGAGGGAGAAAGGCAAGGAGAAAGACACAGAAACACTAATACAAGTAAAAAACACTGCTTGGTTGCCTCATATGCACACGAGCAAGGACCAAACCCCCAATGCCAGGCATGTGCCCTGACAGAGTAGAACCCTCAGTATTTTGCTTAGCAAAATGACGCCCAACTGAGCTACATCAGTCAGGGCCAAACTCCATTTCAAATTTACTTTCCTTACTGTTGCTACTTTGGTAATTAGTCAATTCTACTTCTTTACCTCATTCAGCCTGACTTCTAGTCCATGGAGGATCTCTACTTCCTTATACTTCATATCCCAAACATTTCTCTCATCTCTTCCTCTGTTACTCTGTGCCATGGGTCCACACATGCTGTGAGATTAGTGTGCATCTTTACATTGGCCTTGAATGGCAGCTACTCTGCTGCAGTTGGTTTTTCCTGGGTTTAGACGTGTGCCTCTACACAGCCTCCCATCACAGGCAGAAAAGGTCCTTTAGGAATCCTTTTTCCAAGGAGCAAATTTTAGAACATTCTTATCTTCTTTGTGTTACACCTTATTCTTGTGTCCTTTCCCTGGTGTGAACTTTACCATTTTGGGTATTTTTGTCTTAGAGGTGTAGTAATGCTCAAGAGCCACTTCCCGAACCACATTTTAACTCCCCTCATTGAAAACCATTCCATAGATTCATTCCTAGATGTAACAGATATAGTTTTTTGATGACACTGCTCCGTTCCCATAGTCAACATGTACTTCACCAGAGTTTATTTGCATTCAGGTGGCTGCTGTGGACCAGAGGACGTCGAAGCCCCCTTTGAACAGAATGTTTCTGTGGGAGTGTCACCAGCCAGCATCTCCAGGGCAGCTCTGTCTTCCCTGCAGACCCACTTCTGTCAGACTTGTGGTCCAGTCTTGAGAGACATAATCCAGTTGGCTGAGCACCAGGGAACACCACACAGCCACAGAGTGTTCAGGTGTGAGGTATGTATGAAGCAATTTAATTGCAGTGCAAACCTCCGAGCACACCAGAAGCAGCACCTGGGAGAGAAACCCTTGAGAAGCAGTGTGGACGGGGGCTCGCTTGTGAAGAGCTATAAATTCCGTGTTTCAGAGAAGCCCTTGACTTGTGATGGAGTTGAGAAGGACTTCCTGTCTCCCTCGGAACATCTACAGCAGCAGACCACACAGGCCAGGGAGGAGCCCACCAAAATCACCCAGAGTGAGGCAACTATAGAAAAGAAAAAAACTCTTTTGACCTGGGCAGAATGTAAGAAAGTCTTCAGCCCTAGACCCACACATGCTCAGGACCGGGACATCCGCACTGGAAGACAGCGTGTTGTGTGCCCTGAGTGTGGGAAAGCATTTAGGAATCAGTTCTCATTAGTTGTTCACCAGAGAGTTCACACTGGTGAAAGCCTCCATGTGTGTAGCAAATGTAGCATGTCTTTTAGGCGAACCTCAGCCCTTAGTCATCATCAAAGAATTCATTGTAGGTCAAGACAGTACAAGTGCAGCAAATGTGGGAAGTCCTTTAACAAAAAATTTGTCTTCATTTATCCCTGGAGAAGTCACACTAAAAAAACATATGACTTGTGCCATGAATGTGTGCAATTGTTCAGCCATAGGTCCATCTTTATTAGACAACGGGTGATCCACTCTGGAGAAAGGCGTTATGAGTGCATGCAATGTGGGAAAGCCTTTAGACGAAAATTTTACCTCATTGTACACATGAGAGTTCACACTGGAGCAAGACCTTATCAGTGTAGTGAATGTGGGAAATGTTTTACCAATAATTCAGTACTTATTTTACACCAGAAAGTACATACAGGAGAAAGGCCTTTTGAGTGCATTAAATGTGGGAAATCCTTTACCAGTAGTTCAATATTTATTCTGCATCAGAGAGTACACACAGGAAAAAGGCCTTATGAGTGCACTGAATGTTGGAAATCCTTTAGCCATGAGTCGTACCTCACTCAACACCGGATAGTTCATAGCGGAAGAAGGTCTTATGAATGTAGTGAATGTGGGAAGTCTTTCACGTCTCGACCAGGCCTCCGTTATCATGAGAGTGTTCACAGTGGTCCCAGGTCTTATGAGTGTAGTAAATGTGGGAAATCTTTTACTTCTCGTCCCGGCCTTCGTTACCATCTGAGAGTTCACGCTGGAAGAAAGCCTTATAAGTGCAGTGAATGTGAAAAATCTTATAGCCAAAGGTCCAACCTCATCCAACATCAGAGAGTTCACACAGGTGAAAGGCCTTATCAGTGCAGTGAATGTGGGAAATGTTTTACCTCTAGCTCTGCTTTTCATTATCATAAGAAAGTTCACACTGGAGAAAGGCCTTATCAGTGCAGTGAATGTGGGAAATCTTTTTTATCTGTTTCTAACCTCAGCAGTCATCAGAGGGTACACACAGGAGAGAGACCCTATGAGTGCAGTGAATGTGAGAAATCTTTTATTCAAAGACATCACCTTCTTTTACACCAGAGAGTTCATACAGGAGAAATGCCTTATCAGTGTAGTGAATGTGGAAAATCTTTTTCAGCTGGTTCCAACCTTAGTAATCATCAGAGAGTTCACACAGGAGAAAGGCCTTATGAGTGCAGTGAGTGTGGGAAATGCTTTATCCAAAGACACCATCTTCTTACACACCATAGAGTTCACACAGGAGAGAGGCCATATCAATGCAATGAATGTGGGAAAACATTTGCATCTGGTTTCAACCTCAGAAATCATCAGAGAGTTCATACTGGAGAAAAGCCTTATGAGTGTAGTGAATGTGGGAAATCCTTTATCCAAAAATGCTACTTTCTTATACACCTGAGAGTTCACACAGGAGAACGGCCTTATGAGTGCAGTGTATGTGGGATAGCTTTTACCACTAGGAGGAAACTCCGTTATCATCAGGGCGTTCACAGTGGACAAGGGCCTCATGAGTGCCGAGAATGTGGGAAATCTTTTACCTCTAGTTATACCCTCCGTGATCATCAGAGAGTTCATACAAGCCAAAGGCCTTATGAATGTACTGAATGTGGGAAGTCCTTTAGAGCAAATTCTTACCTCGTTGAACACTGGAGAGTTCACACTGGAGAAAAGCCTTATCAATGTACTGAATGTGGGAAATCTTTTTCCTCTGGCTCTGGCCTCCGTTATCATCACAGTATTCACACTGGGTTAAGGCCTTATGAGTGTAGTGAATGTGGGAAATCTTTTCCCAAGAGCTCAGCACTCATTCGACATCGAAGAACTCACACAGGTGAAAGGCCGTATGTGTGCAGTGAATGTGGGAAATCTTTTATCCAGAGACACCACCTTCTGGTACACCAGCGAGTTCACACAAGATAAAGGCCTTACGATTCCAGCGAATGTTGGAAAACCTTTATGGAGAGTTCCCAGTCCCATTACCACTGGGCAGTTCACACTGGAGAAAGGTGTGTGAGTTAAACAATGTGGAAAATCCTTTAGCCATAAGTTTTACTTTTCTTAACACCCGAGACTTGTTACTGCAAAATGGTTTTGTAAGTGTACGAAATTAGGAAATGTCTTACCTGTATCTGGAGTTAGTTATCTGATAATTCACACAGGATGAAGGCCTTATGGTGTAGCAAAGGTAAAAAATCCTTTACCCATTGCTTCACAGCCTTTTCACCACCAAAGAGTTCAGCCAGGAGAAAGGCCTTATGAGTGCACAGGATGTAGAAAACCCATAAAGAGTTTACTTTATTTTCCTGTGTAGAATTTACGCTAGAGCAAGACCATAGCTGAGATGTGCGAAGGAATGTGCACTTTTCTTGTTTGGTATTCTGACACTGGGAGAAACCGTGAGAAGCCGTGTATCTCAAGTTGATGTCCTGTATCCAGTTGCCCACAGTTGGGAGATTTGCCCTGAGTTTTAGTTACGTGGGAAGCATGTGTATCTATGTTGCACTTTGTAACCTGCCGGGGGTCTTCACCATTTTCTGTTGTGAAAGTCTTTTCACTCTAGCACGTGGCGGGTGCCCACAGTTTGTGCCCATTACCATCCTACTGTGCTGACTTCTGTTGTGTCGTGTGTTGGAGGAAAATAGGAGTTACCTGAGCTCTTTGGAGTCGCACTGGGCAGAAATCCACCCCTTTATTGACTCAGAGAATATCGCATGAGTCTGGTTGGAGGGCCATGTTCTCCCAGGAATTTTTTCAGCTTGCAAGTTGCCAACCTGAACTCGTTGCTGCACGTGGCTTTGGTTTGTTCAGTACTGTTGAATTCCTTACTGTGTCAGTTTTCGTTTATTTTCTGAGTTCTATTTAGTGTGTGGTATGTCTCCCAAACAGATTTGGGCTCCACAAGTATGAAAGGTGAACATTTTCAGGAGGATCCCCAACTTTGTGTTCTTCCTAAGGACAGTATAATGGCAAAATACAGCTCACAGGATTTTACCAAATTTGCGTTCTTTCTAGGAAGGGCTGCAGGGCTTTGAGGTCTTCCCGTGAAGCCTAGAAGCTATGAGTTTTAGGAGACTGAGAAATCACCCTAAAAGATAAAATAAGTGAAAAAGAAAACAAAACAAAAAAAAAGAAACCACCCCATGGAGGGGTCCGATGTGACAGTCTCAAGAGCTTCTCAGAGCAGCACGAATTTTCCCGTTGTTCACAGGGGATAATCTCAGGGGATGTGGAAGGGAATCTGTCTCCTAGGTCCTGCAGTGAACCATGCGTTCTGATGTTTTGATTCCATGGGTGACGGTGTCTGGTTTTAAGACCATCGGGACTAGAGGAAACCATAACTGCTACTGAAGTGACGCTGGATTTGTAGGGATTGGAGACTTTAGCCAACACGATGGAATGTGCTTCTGAAAGGGAATTCACAAGTGTTTCCGTAAAGGTGGCTGTGGAGGATCAGTGTGCATTGCAGTTCTCAGGATCTCCAGTTGTGTGTCTGTCTTTTTTTTTTTTTTTTTATGATGTAATTTATTTATTTTTAGAGAGAGGGGAAAGAGAAGAGAAAGAGAGGGAGAGGAACATCGATGTGTGAGAGATACCTAGGTAGGTTGCCCCTTGCTTGCCCCCAACTGGGACCAGGCGGCAACCCAGGAATGTGCCCTGGCTGGGAATGGCGCTTCTGACTCTTTGATTCTGAGACCAGCGCTCAATCCACTGACCCACACCATCAGGGCGAGGTGTGTTATCTTGTATGGCTGAAGTCCTTGTCAGAGAAAATGTTTTGTGAATTCCTGTAGTGATGCTCACCCAAGGCCGTGTTGCACAGGCAGGAAAACAAACATACATGTAATAAACTGTGCATATTTAAAGTGTAATATTTGATGTTTTGAGGTACATATGATTCTGAAGGCATCATTGCAGTTACGGTAATGACTTCACCTGCCAGTGTATTTTTCCCCGTTGTTCTTTTGTAATCTCTCCTTGCACCTCACAGCCCTTCAAACAACTTGACTTACGTTCCCTCCTTATAGATAATTTTGTATTTTCTGTAATTTATATGATACAGTCATTAAATGTTTACTTATTTTTTGTTTCCTTTATATTTTTGCTATCTTTGGACATACCACAGTAGGCTTATCCATTCCTCCTTTTATGGACTTTTGGGGCATTTCCCTTTTTTTTATTATGGTAAATGGAGGTTGTACAAACCTATGTATACAGCCCTTTCTATGAATATATGTTTTATTTCTCTTTTGTCTCTTTTATAGTGTAGTGTCAGAGTCCCAGGAAGGTAAGTATTAACTTTTGGAAAACTAACAAATTGTGATGTGAAATGATGGTACTTGTCTGCATTCTTATCACTTATGGGAGTTTCATTTCTTCACATCACATTTAATACTTTATTTTGTTATTTTTAGTTTGGCTTTGTAAAATAGTTTGTAACGCTATCTTATCATTGTTTTAATTGCCTTTTTGTAAGCTTTCTTGATGAGTAGTTTTTCGTATGTATTTACTCTATGTATGTCTGCTCATATCTTTTGCCTATATTACAAACATTGTCCATTTTCCTTTTCTGAACAAAAAGATTTTATTTAATTTTAGAGAGAGAGGAAGGGAGGGAGTAAGAGGAAAGAAACATCAATCAGTTGCCTCTTGCATGCCCCCAAATGGAGAACCTGGTCCACAACCGGGAAATGTGCCCTGACTGGAAATCGAACAGCTGACCTTTTAATTTGCGAGCTGGAGTTCAGTCCACGGAGCCACACCGGCAAGTGCCGTTTTCCTTCTCCTTAACAACTCGGACAGTGGAGCAACAAAGATCTATGTCGGAATTTTACTCAATTTTAAGTACATGAGTGACTTCTGTGCTTAATGGATTGTTTTCAATACCAGTAAACTATATATTAACTCTTATCAAAAATTTTATGCTGTGCACAATATAATGGAAAAATAAAGCATACGCTTTTAAGATTAATCTGCATTAACATTCTCCATTTGTATCTTAAGTTGAGACATTCAGTAGTACACGTATGCCTTGCTTTGTAGTGATTGCTCATTTTCCTGGTTTGTCATTGGCGGATCGGAACAAGTGAGGAACCAGATGGAGTCAGGATGGTCTGGGCATTGAAAGCCTATGGGGAGGGAAAGAGGACCAGAGTGATGAGACTCTCCCGATGGTCTGAGTTTGAATCTTAGATCTCCAACTACCACTGTCTTGCATACACACTCATTGGTTGCTTACTGTATGTGCCTAAGACCTCGGGTGCCCTGTGCACATGAACCAGAGAAAGAGATGGACTTGCCTGAGGGAGGCTCTGTCTCGCAGAGTCTCCCTAGTCCCCACGGATGAAAAATAAATTGTCCCAGATACGATTTGCCTGTCAGGAGGAGGGGGTGGCGATCCTCTCCAGCGGAGAATGCCCTGAGCCCCTCTCTCCGAAGTGGCTCTTCTTGAGAAGGAGACGCACGCAGGGGTATAAGGCAGGCATGCGAAACTTACCAATCTCTTTCAAAGGCTATAGATAATGAATTGGAGAAACACAGAGGCCTGTCTTGAATCAGGGTCTGTGAGACACGCCGACGCCAGATGCTTGTTAAGGTAGACTCTGGGGCTTGGGAAGTATGCCCTTGCTGTGAAGTAAAACACCTGTTTTTTCCCTTATCCGGGCAGTGGGAAGCAGAGCAAGCCTCAGTAATTATATTGCATTCTTCAGGCCAGATCTCCCAGGGGACCCTCGGTGTTAAGGTGGACCCACGCGCCTCCCAGCGTTCCTGGCTTTGCGGTGGAGGCTTACAGGCAGGGCCTAGGTCGCATGGGGCTACAATCCCCGATTCGACACAAAGCGGCCCCCACCACGTCCCCTTTTCTGCATCGATACCACTTGAAGGTGGGGTGTCAAAATACTGACTCTTGGGCCTTGCCCCCACAGTGAGTGGATAGGTTTGGGTTTGGGGCTGAGAAGTCGCGTTTCTAATGAGTCCCTAGGTGCTGGTTTTTGGTGGACTGGTGCAGAGGTGGAACCTGGAGAATGTTCCTAGGGGAGGCCCTGCTGCTTCCTTCCTGCTCCAGGCCAAGGGGCCGCAGGTGTGCGCCTCCTCGTGGACACCCTCAGAGTGTCTGCAGTGAGCCAACCTGGCTAATGACGACGAGGGCTGTCCCACGACCTCCATTGTCAGGGAGACTTGTGAGGAACCCAGACACTGAAGCCGCCTAGGAACCTTCTGCTTTGGCTTGGGAATGTGATTAAACAAAGGAGGCCATTAGACTGAGGTGGGTCCAGTGCCATGCAGTCTGGGCAGCCTGGAAACCTAATTCAGAGTAAATTCTTGTAAATGCCTCAGTGGTAAGATGTGCAATCCTTAGAACTGCTGATCACGGACACCCAAGCAGCCTTTTTCAAATGAGGCAACCCCTTCCCCTCTACCCAATCCAGTCATTTTCTTGCTTTGCTTTCTTCCTGCTGAATGAAACCCTTTCCCCAAGTCTGGGTGGGGGCTGCGTGATTGGAATTGATGTTTCCTCAAATAAAACCTTCAAAGTTTAATGTACCTCAGTTTATCTTCAGACAGAACGGGTCCCCCCTCCTCTTGGTTCCAGAAAGAGAAAATACCCACAGGGCCCATCCGTGTCAATGGTGTTCTTAGAAAGGAGGCCTTCCTGGCCTCTCTGTGCCGTCCTGTTACATCCCATCCCCTGTGGCTGAGGTGGGTGCTCGAGGTGTGGTCTCTGCCTTCAGGTATGTGATGGTGACTGCTGACACAATACAAACAAAATCTCCACGTCCAGAATTTCTGTCTTCATGGGTAGCAGGAAGAGCAACAGTTTTTTAATTAAATATTTATTAAGTCAGAGTTTGATGTGCATCACAGGCAATCCAGTAAGAAATAGCAAAGCAGATAAAATCCAGTACAGGCATGTATTCAAA